ATACCCTCTCATATCCTTTGATTTGCTATTAGTCCTTACTTCTTTAAACCATTAGTTATCTTCATAGCTGTGTGATATACTATGTGGACATCTAACCCATAAACCAAACTTTTTAACGATCTGATTTGATTGTAACATTGACCTAGTAGAGACAGTGTATTCCAACTATGGGCTTTGATTAAAGCAGTATTCATACTTACCACAAACATAAGAGAGCCCAACATCACAAAAGGAGGGAGGGTGGCTTTACTGACCAGCAAACATGATGGTGGGGAGATAATTTCAATCCACCCATGTCTGTAGGGCAGAACATTTTGTTATGGTTTAGTGGGATGTCACGAACTTAAGGTATTAATTCTGATTTATCATGCAAAATACCTCATTAAATCGTGTTACGAACGTTGAATTGGTTCCACTTCCTACCGAGCAATCCCATTACAAGCAAACTAGACAATTTGTTAATATACGAAATCTACATACACCTCGTGTATGAGTATCAGATTTTGGACTTCGCCCGTCACAACACAAAACATCCAACATTCACTAGAGTATAGTAAAAAATATAATGCCTTTGCAAAATGAAGGAGTAACTAAACATTTGAGCTGTAAGATATATATATATATATATATATATATATATAAGGGAAAGTTGCTTCACACCGTGTCAAAGACTGTCCTATGCGCACATTATAGAGAATTTAAAGGAAAGATTTGGTGAAACATCCATTTAAGTTTATATTTTACTAGTTAGCAAAAGAATCAAGTTTTATTTTTATGGGTATAGTTTCTATGATTTGTTTTAAATAGATATTGCCATTCTTGAACAATGTCCGTGGAGTTATCGAGCCTCCCTTTGAATATATACAAGGAAAGATTCATATTCAAGTTTTCGCAGTCGTTGGTAGCTCGATGGAAGTTGTTAAATCTGTGACCTTTGTGTGTATCCTTCATTTGCTGTTTTGAAGTGCAAGTGAGAAATACATTAAGTGAAAAATGTGCAAGTAGCTCTGAGGCTATAATATAAGTTTAAGCAAATAAACTTGGCTCAACCGCTCTCGGATCATTTTCAAACTCAGGAACCATCAAGATAATTTGCAATGCCTTCGACGGTTTGCCCGTGAACGAAAACAACATCCCAACCTCAGGTAGCAAGATTTGATGCTAAAACATTAACTAGTGATACGGTAACTAGTAATGAAAAGCTAACCGTGCATACAGAAAAACCTAAACGGCAAATTAGATGTTACTTCTGATTTTTTGTATAGGAGTAATTAAACGTCAGTCAGATTATTTGTATGACTCTGTGGACTTGGATGTAACGGAAATGCAAGCTGAGTACAGCCAGATGGGATATCTAAAATTCAAGCTGTTCGAAACTTCAACTACCTCAACAGACAAGTGGTTGTGTTATCTGTATAGTTCTGTACAAATAAGTTCAACCGAAGTAGACTAGCTGCCGTCAGCCGGTGTTTCAACAACCAATAACAGTGAAATATGTGATGAGTAAGTTTTATTTGAAACTTTCTGAAGTTTTGTGGATTATCAAAAATATATGCGAACATAAAAATGTTAGCAGCTGAGGCCGCAGAGTTGTTTGCAACTATGAGACAAATGATGCTATTGTTGAAAACACGTGCAACGTATCATCAGTCAAAATGATTTGGCGGGGTCTAGCCGGCCTAAAGATTCCCTCGCAAACTGAAAATAAGCCGTAAGCCCTAGGTATGTTTCTTCAGGAAGTAGAGACAAGGGACAAATCTTTAAGTAAACTGATCTAGCCTGCAGATTGTTTGCCATTTAGATGGCAATGATCACTAGGCTGATCGGTCAAAAGCCGAAAACATCCCTCAGGTCCATTTTATCATACCCGAAAAAACCGAAATTGCTAAAGAACCTTACGTCGATGGGTACTGGTGCAAAACGTAGTATTGTGGTGTATAGATTCTACAACCCTGTACGAAGTAAGAATAAATTATAGTTTCTCTCAGTTAAAAGTGCATTAACATCATAATTAATATCTTCCAAAGTTAACGTAAAATATCTTGCTAAGGTGCACCATGTGGCTACCCAGGAGTTCATTGATAATATGAAAGATAAAGTGAAAAAGCGTTATTATAGAAGAAAAAAATGCAATTGCGATTTTTACTGTCAACCTTCTCTTTATGTTTTAGACTTTGACGCCTGCTCTTTGGATTATAACTGTTTCAGCGGATGAGGTAGCAATTGTTTAATAGGCGTTTGACAAAAACATCCCTAACAATCATTTGCTGTTCTGTTTTGGAATTCAAGTGATCGAAATGTTTCCTGTCACTGAACACTCCATTACTGTGCAAATAAATATTCCTTAAAGATACATTAAACTTCTCGCTTACATCAAGTAAGCTGAAAGTAATTAGATGTAGTAGATAAATCTTGATGCTCACGAGCATCTCCTTTGAACAATCTCTCTCAATGTATTTACGTAAACCTCTCAACAACTATTTCTTGGATTACACTTAAAGACAAATTTTTCTGTGATTTGCAATGTGGATGTCTCACTTCCTCCCGATTGTAAACGATGTTGATAACTGCATACGTAAAGACAAAATTGTTCTCATTTAAACCACGATATTAATTATTATCGTGCACGCACATAATTTGTTTGACCCACGGAATTAAAAGAGAACATCGGAAGAATACAATGTACTGAGACGCCAAGTTTTGCTGCAAATAGGTTATTTAATTCGTTGGTACTGCGGAAACTTAGACAATTTGGTGTCGATTTTAATGAAAAGTAGGCAAATCGGTATTTGTTTATGGAAAGGTAAAAATGTTAATTTTGATACATTCCGCATCAATGGGGAACCTTTTGGGGAAATTATGAACTATTTAAACTTGGCTAGGAGTAAGGACACAATCAGATGCATCATTAGACACATTCACACTGACTTCTCTGAAAGTTACCCCCAAAATAATCTCGATGTTCGCCTCTGTTTTCCGTTTTCGCCTGCTTGGAGCACGGATTACTGAGGATTTGGTGAGCAACATCATCATTCTTTCGATAGGACTGTGAGAAATGCTGTCAGCAACCCTAGAAGAGAGCAGTCCTGAAATGACTAAACAAAAACGAATGTGAACTAAAGATCACGGTCGACGACAACATTATCGACGAATCAGCCAAGACTCAGCATGGCCATGACATCGACGGTATTAGAGTCTCAGCAAACTTGTGTCCCCGTAGCACAGGCTTCCCTGGACTCCCGTCAAAAGTCTCGAGATTGAGTCACTGCACTTACACGGCTTACCCGAGGGTAGGTTTCTAAGAACCTAAATCATCTAGAACTTCTTCCTGTAAAGCTCACTAAATGACCACTGCTGACCAGCAAGCGTTGATGGTGAGGGCGATGACTTCAATCCACCTATGTTTGTGGGGCATAAAATTTCGTATTTATCAGGCTCTTTATGATTGAGAATAAACCAATCAATCTGTGATATAGATTGTCTTCCTGCGCTAACCACTCAATTTAATCTTTCCAATTTTATGCTGGATCAGCTATTCTACTAAGACAACCTACAACATGCTAACTCGGAATTTTACACAAGGATTGTGTGGCTGGCATCGGATGGACAAAAAAGTAAAAAAAGAAAAAAAGTAGACAATAAAAGATATGGTCATTAGTATTCTCAACACTTCACCCTCTATATGCACACTCCCTTCCAATAAACCTCATTCCCTGTACCAGTCTTGACTTCCCTTCCTTCATGTGAGCTTACTCTAACTTGTTAAACATCACAACTCATTGTTATTCATTACTACATTCTCTTATATGGAGCCTCTGACTTCGTTTCACTCTAACAAGAGATAATATGAATTTAATCTAATTTATTATAACTCTGTCTGTTCCACGACAAAATGTTAAGCAACGTCTGACGTTCATATTGAAGAGCCTTGCTGCTCCTCAGCATAAACCTAATCATTATCACTGCAAGACATCTCCATAGATGAGCTGCTTTTTCTTTTATCGATTTCGTTTACTTAACAACCCTACTTGGGAAGCATGCTGTGAACCAACAAGCGTTGTAATTTGTAGATCATGACTGTTAAAATTGCGTGTACCTGCTCACGCGGAAATAATTATTATTGTTATTAATAATTCTCCTGGTCAGTCACATTCTGATGTCAGTCACTGCCTGATATACGGTATTTTGAAGGCAATCTCATCATGAATCTCACGAATCGGCCTTTAGTGGAAGAAATACGATTGCGCAAGGCGTCTCAGAAAACATAGACCGTCATTGTGCGGACTATGGCATTCTAGAGTGGGAACACTGAAAGCAGTCGTTGAAGCTCAAGAACATATTGACTCAAAAATTGGTGCGATTAGCCAGATAAGATGGGAGTTCGAGATCCAGGCCAATAAAAATAACTTTTTTATCCACCCAAATGGTGGCCGCTACTCTTGAAGCATTGCTTACTAACAGACGTTTATTAGCGACTGGAATCCACATGCATCCGGACAGGTTACATAACACCAGGATCAAGTACAGAGGCAGTTGGAACTTACTATTTCACCTGTTGACTGTTAAGAACAGATAAAAACGTTAAAGAGATAGGGACCCCAACTCGAAAAACCCTGTGTGGGTAGGTTGCCTATCCATTTAAATATGACTCATTCATATAAATGGGACGAGGAAGCTCCTATCTTCATTGCAGGAGATTTCAATCTACCCTGAGTCAATTTCGCTGACAACACGTGCATGGGAGATGATAAGTCTACTGAGACTCGGATGTTCGGTTTCATTAAGAGTTTAGGATTATTCGGAAACCCGAGGTTAGACACTCGGCAGAGAAATAGTCAGACACTGTCACGCGTAGACCGGTCCTTTACAAATGGAGAATTCTTGATAGACAACCTCTCAATCGAAGCCCACAAGGAAAAGGTGGCTATTACGTCCACATTTTGCTTTCGTCCGTTATTGAAGTACGTTCGATTGACCCACTAGTAACTAACGTCACCAAACGACAATAGAGCCGAATTCAAATTCAGGTACTAAAGTTTATTCGTAAATCGCAAGTCATGAACCAAAATATATTGTTTTGACGATAGTTATAAAAATTACAAAACAAACCTTTAATTTTTGGGTAAAAGTTATGAACAAACAAGTTCAAAATTTGTGTACAATAAATGCATCCAAAACACAGGAGCAGTTTAAAAATCAGGGAACCAATACGCAAAAACAGTAAGAAAAGATAGGCTTTAGTATCAGATAAAACTGGCACCTATCGCACCAATTTTTAAAGGAGGTCGACGCAGCTGGCTCACTAGCTACCGGCTGGTAGCACAGCTCTCGATACCGTCAAAAATTATGGAGTCCTTGATATGCGACGGTCTACGTGAATATCCATAAATTTTTTTCGGTCCCAACAGCTCGGTTTCAGAAAGGGTCATTCTCGTATAACCAACCTACTGACCGTGGTGGACAACCATCCTTGATCTCAAGTGGAAGGTTGACATCACATACCTTGAATTCTCAAAAGCTTTTGATAGGGTTCATCATGCATGTCTTATCGACAAGCTCAAACGATTAGTTATCAAGTCATCGTTAGTTGGCTGGCTTACTTCATACCTAAATGATCTACTTCTTAAAGTCACGGTTAACCTCAATTTTTCCCAGGCCGCAGAATGTCATAGTGGGGTCGCTAGGGGTGTACTGCTTGGACCTCTTAACTTCCTAATTTAAGTAAACGACCTTCCTCAGCAAGTATCGTCTGATTTCTTACTTTTCACTGATGAAGTGAGACATTAGAGATAAGTTTGGAGCTAAGATGCCATGCTGGTATTTCAGATGTATATGAATTGAATTTAAAGTTGGGAGGGCAACAACGGGCTGACCTTTAACACTCCAAAGTGTAAAGTAATCCATTTGAGACATATTGCAGACTACGAATACAACCAAGGTAACTCCCCTCTAGAGGTATCCGTAGTTGAAAAAGATCTAAGGGTTTTGTTATCCTATTATCAGAAGTCTTACACTGAATGCAACACAAATGCCTTTCGAGCAAACCTCTCACCGTTATCCATGAAGTGCGCTTTTGGGCAGTTCGATGGAAGAACGTTTTATTTAATCTTCAAGAGTTTTATTCGACCCCATTTGTAGTATGGAAATATAGCGTTTCTTCTCTCACATCGGACGGATAAGAATACATGGCAACGTGTCGAAAGGCGAGCGATGAAATCGAATTTAGGCTTTAAGAAAAGCGCCTTAAATCACTGAAAGTTTACTCATTAGAGTATGGGAATCTCAAAGGTGACTTTCAAATGACTTGTAGACTTCTAAACAATTCTGGGTATGCTCTTACAAACTTACTTAAGCTCAGTCTCAACACAAAGGTTTAGAGATAACAACCAGAAACTGGAGACACAACATAGCAGAACGAACTGTATACACACCTTGTTCTCCTTAAGCCTAGTCAAACTTTAGAAGTCGCTACCGGCTGAGCTAGTCTAGGCGACTTCTCAGGATTCCTTTGACAGGAAACTTGACATATTTCTCAGAATTAAAAAGATGTCTCTCTATAACCCAATCCACCTATTTCGGCGAATATTTTGTCCAGTTTGGGTAAATTTCGCGGAAAACTTTGGGAGAATCGCACGAAAGCTTTAAAATTTCCCCAGGTCTGGGGAAAATCTCCGAAATACTTGAGAAAATCTTGAGTTTTCTCTAATATTTCCACAAACCTTGGGGAAAACTACCATATTTCTTACGACTTTTTGGAAAATTCCAAAATTTTCCCGAGGTTCCCAAAAATTTACTTAAGATGGTGAGATTGAGAAGTCACAAATATTTTTTCTCTTTTATCGTTAAATATACTTAGGCTTCTAACTGGAGGCATTGGTGATCTATTGCTACTAAATACTACTAGATAAGCGAAAGCTTCTATTCCGTCCAAATCTATTTGAACAACTGAGGCGTAGTTACCGCTTAATGCAAAAATTCAAAATATTTGATTACGCTGTCCAGAATCGTCTTTAGATTTTAGGAATAATTATAGTTTGAAATTGCTACTTAGGTCAGTCAGTCAGTCAGTCAGCAACAACGTAGAACTTCGTACGTACGTACATCAGTTCCAGTTGCCACACCACGTTAGCACACAGATGTAGTGGTTGATTCAAATCTCGTAGTGGTAGAGGTAATAAGAGTATAAGCAGTAATCGGGAAAATTAGTGTTTGGAGATTTTATTTAAATAGTATAATACAGTGAAATAAATTTGGGAAGAGAAAACAAGAGACAAGGAGGAATAAGGAGATGAAAATTTGGGAGGGCACAAGGAGTGGATGCACCTGCGCCATTGCAAACGATTTTGAGCCATGTCATTCAGGGTCTCTAACCATCGGTTGCTATCATCTCGCGGTCTCCAACCAGGTAGTCTACACCTACCAACGTGACTCAGACCACTTGTCAGTGACTTCATGGACTTGTGCCATGTTTTGGTCTGGCCGCTCTTAGCTTTCTTCCAACCTACTCCTATACCACTGGACATCGCACGTCGAGGCAGTCGGTCGTTGGGCATATGTAACACGTGTCCCAGCCATCTCAACTGATGAAGTTTCATTACGTCATCAATTGATTTGCTACTTAGGTATTACTCACTATGGTTATAAATTGCTTGGTACAATTTTGAGCTGAAGTATTTTATCAAAATTAAGATGATTTTATAGCGGCGAGTCACATACCATATTTGTCAACAATCATGTATGAATAGTACGATCTCGTTAACCCTCTCAATCTACCTATTTTAGGGAAACCTTAGGGAATTTCGGGGTTCTCCCCAAAGTCATAATAAGCTTGGTAGTTTTCCTGAAAGTTTGAGGGAATTTTAGGGAAAAACTCAAGAGGTTATAAGATTCTGTGAAAATCTAAAGATTTCCCTAGACACTTTAGAGATTTCCCCCTAACCTGGGGAAATTTTGGGGTTCTTGTGGCATTTTCCCATAGTTTTCTGTGGCGGATTCCCCGAAATTCACCCAACCCGGACAAAGTTTTACCAGAACTAAGGAGATCGAGTTGGTACATAGATTATATTACCGTCTAGCTCCTAAAGGATAAACAATTATATTGGGCCCATTATAACTTGTATTAGGACGACCAATAAATGTACTAGAATGAAATTAACCCGAGTTGTAATACCATGAAATAACGTAAAAGTTTATTGGACTAGTTTAATCTGAGTTGGGCTGTGTTGAGGTATAGTGAACTGAAGTTGTTCCTGTGTACCACCAATTATAATTGTCCAGGGAAAGTAATGCAGTTAGTTAGACAGGAAGTGATAAGTAGGAAGGTATATAGATTAGAATTCGTGATCAATCATTTTATGATGCCGGAGAAAATCACTATAATTGGATTTTTACTTTTGATAGTCACATGAATAGACTGGACTTATGTAGCCTAAAATAGTATATTAATGTATGATCCTATCATGTAAAGATCAACAACCAAATCTTCCCTTTGCTAAACTGTCTTCTCATTAGTAATTTCTATTTTCCCAGATGTATACGATAATATATATGAAATGGCGCTGTCCTATCTCATTTGATGAAACTAGTTATATGACAAATTGAGTTGTAAATAAAAACATATTAGATGGATATATATGGGTACTTGAATCTGATAATGGTGATGTAAAAAATTCATCATCATCACAATCACCAAATATCACTCATTTATTAAATGGATTAAATCTATGTACGTCATGAAGGGAAGGTTTCGTATTTTTAATTGTCATTTTGATACATACCAGATCGTCTTTACCATAGGTTACTCTGTTCTAAACAAACCATCATTAAGATTATCAAATATTATCCAGAACATGGCGTATTGGTAGTTAAGATAGACATGCCATTCTGGGATCATAATCTCTGTATTAGCTTCTTGACATTTAACATAATCGGAGTTTGATCTGTGAGTATATTTTACTTCGATAATTGTCGTTTTTGAATACTCGTGCTTACTACGCTAATTAGAATAAATGGTGTTATTGACTGTTATATATGTTATGAGAAATTATGAGTCTGTTCGAAACTTATTCCAGTAGCTATAAAAAAACCAACACACTGTGAACATTTCATACACATAGTTCCTTTTATTATCTTAAAGAGAGCAAGAACAAAGATTGGTGCAGAATAATATGAATTCATTTTATTTCGTTTGGTTCTCATCAGCTGCTTACAACCTAAATTATTTGAAAATCAAATTATTACAGATATTGACATATTTATACATAAGAGTGTGATTAAGGATCAATACATGTGTATGATGATCTAGCAAGCAAAATTCAGATAGAGTTAATGAGCTCATAAAATGTTTGATTCGAATAAATAAATAAAGTTTGAGAGGGAAAGTTCTGGATCATTGAAATAGTGATTAGAACTCATGAAAATAGATTAATGGTAATAAAGAAAATATGAATTGAAATCAATCAGTTATGTATGATGTAATTTAAAAGAGTTGGAGTAATGACGCAATAAATAACTAGAGAAATAAATGAATAAAAGGGGTTATTGTTACCAGGGTAAAGAAAGATTTATTACTGTCTCTTTTTGTATACATAGATCTGGTTTTAAACGTTTGATTGCTATTGCTTCAGCAAATTTCAAAAGGTTGGAGTTTGATTGTTTGTTAATCACCTTGAAGGACTTCAGTATATCAACTTCATGTCCTGTATCAAGGAGATGTCTTGCGATGGCACTGTTGAATGCGTTCAATCCATTTAACCTCAAACTTTTCGGAATATGTTCTTTGAATCGGACGTAGGCTCTCCTTTCTGTTCTACCAGTGTAACTGCTTTGGCAGGTACATGTAAATTTGTATATACAGTTGGTGGTAACATGAAAGGGATACCTGTCAACCTTTGATTGTGTCAAAGAACATGTTGTTTTGGACAGGACAATCAATTCCGCTGCAGGATAAGTTCATGTCAGTGCAGTTTTCAGTCTCATATTGATTGATCCTGTGACATCGTCACCTTTGAATTGAAGTTGAATAAAAATAGGCTTTTTATTTGCTGTAATTTCTTTCGGTTTTTTATCTTCACATTTGCCGTATTCCTCAATAAATTTCAGTGGGTATCCGTTATTCTTTAAACATTTTTTAACATTCATAACTTCCTCTTCTAGTGTATCGGAAGTACATATTCTTTCTGTTCTGTGAAACAGTGTTTTGACCAGTGCCTTTTTGTAACTGATTGGACAAAAGCTACTGAAATTAAGATAACTACCATTCCATGTGTCTTTCTTATAAACTGAATTTTGAACTGTACCTTCTTTTCTTCTTTTCATCGCGATATCGAGAAAATGCAACTTGTTTTCTTTTTCATGTTCCATAGTGAAATGGATATTCGGATGTGCTTCGTTGAAAAACTCTAGCAAATTTATTGCATGTTGTTTATTATTACATACGATGAAGGTATCACCAACTTACCTCGAATAATACGTCATTTCATCAATCGCCCGTTTGAGTTTGGTTCTTTCGAGGTTAGCCATGGAAATATCTGCTAGGACAGGACCTAACGGCACTGGTCGAAACACTGTTTCACAGAACAGAAAGAATATGTACTTCCGATACACTAGAAGAGGAAGTTATGAATGTTAAAAAATGTTTAAAGAATAACGGATACCCACTGAAATTTATTGAGGAATACGGCAAATGTGAAGATAAAAAACCGAAAGAAATTACAGCAAATAAAAAGCCTATTTTTATTCAACTTCAATTCAAAGGTGACGATGTCACAGGATCAATCAATATGAGACTGAAAACTGCACTGACATGAACTTATCCTGCAGCGGAATTGATTGTCCTGTCCAAAACAACATGTTCTTTGACACAATCAAAGGTTGACAGGTATCCCTTTCATGTTACCACCAACTGTATATACAAATTTACATGTACCTGCCAAAGCAGTTACACTGGTAGAACAGAAAGGAGAGCCTACGTCCGATTCAAAGAACATATTCCGAAAAGTTTGAGGTTAAATGGATTGAACGCATTCAACAGTGCCATCGCAAGACATCTCCTTGATACAGGACATGAAGTTGATATACTGAAGTCCTTCAAGGTGATTAACAAACAATCAAACTCCAACCTTTTGAAATTTGCTGAAGCAATAGCAATCAAACGTTTAAAACCAGATCTATGTATACAAAAAGAGACAGTAATAAATCTTTCTTTACCCTGGTAACAATAACCCCTTTTATTCATTTATTTCTCTAGTTATTTATTGCGTCATTACTCCAACTCTTTTAAATTACATCATACATAACTGATTGATTTCAATTCATATTTTCTTTATTACCATTAATCTATTTTCATGAGTTCTAATCACTATTTCAATGATCCAGAACTTTCCCTCTCAAACTTTATTTATTTATTCGAATCAAACATTTTATGAGCTCATTAACTCTATCTGAATTTTGCTTGCTAGATCATCATACACATGTATTGATCCTTAATCACACTCTTATGTATAAATATGTCAATATCTGTAATAATTTGATTTTCAAATAATTTAGGTTGTAAGCAGCTGATGAGAACCTAACGGAATAAAATGAATTCATATTATTCTGCACCAATCTTTGTTCTTGCTCTATTTAACACTGTGAACACATGTGAAGGCAATGTATTGGTGTTGAGATAAAGTAGGGAGCTGTTTACAAGCTAATTACCACGCATTCATCAACTATCACATTTTTGGTTAATTTTGCACAGCAAAAGCCGAATACACCTATATTCATGTTTTATTATTCTTATAATCTCTATTGTTACTGATGTTTCATGTAAAAAGCATACTACATAAAACAATATATACCCACTACGTTCTTACCAAAATATAGGCTGCTACCTATTTCAGGGCTTTGTGAACTCAATGAACAATAATTGGGGCTGAACAACAAATAAATCATTGGTGACACCGACAGACTACTAGCACCATGGTTTATTTATAAGGTGTTGCAGTTTTTTCATAAATGAGTCGCACTCCAACACATTTATTACGAGCACTTGCTGTCGTCACCTTACAAACATCAATCCCTGAATAACAGCACTATAAATGCATGTAATGTTCCCGAGATTTAATGGCTCAAAGACCTCTTGTTTGCTATGCTTGTTTAAGCTTACTAGTTAAGATTTGTCATGCATCTAATAATGCTTTAGAGGAAGAATTATTTGTCATTTACTATCATTGCTAAGAAAATGAAAAAAAAACAACTTTATTTTAAAACAGAAATGTGCTGTTCCGAATCACTGTTGAACTTAGATGTCATTATGTGTGAGTGTGGTACAAGAATACATGTAGACGGAAGCTTTTTCAATTTCTGATTGCCGTGAAACTACTTAATACATCATTTATGACTTTATACGGAGTTTAAGCAGACAAAGAACTTTTCCAGTTTACGAGAGTTACAATAAAACTGAAAATTAACGGCCTCTCACTATTTGATGGTGATAATACCCTGAATGCATCAGACAGAGATTATTAAGGTATGATTTTAGGATATTGTGTCATGTATTGAGTGAGAGTAGTATTAGTGTGCTTGGGTGATTGACAATATAAGTTGTGGCTTAAACTTGTTTTGTGAAAAGGCGGCAATCCACTGTATACTTATGGTGAGGTTTCGAAGTATTTATTGGACCTTTTTATTAAGTCTCATTCTATTTTTCTTGAAGCTAATCAACAAATTTATTATAGTTCAGTATTGTTTCGAAACTCGCACAAGTTCCTTCAAATCATTCATACATTTTCGCAGATCACTTAGAATGGTTTGAACGTTACTGATTAGCTTTAGAGGTTGTACGAAAAATCAAAAGCTTAAGGATTGTTTTGCTTTGACAATATTTATCAGAATACGCAAAAAAGCTTTGTTACAAAATTTGTGTTAATGATTTACCATCCTCTTGTAAACCTTTACGCAAATTTTGAGATAACAAGGGTATAAAGTCAGGTTCTCAAACAGTTTCAAGTCACCTTATATTTTGAATGCGCTGTATAATTAATAGGGCTTTTGAAACGGAACAGTGAGTTCATATCCTGCCTTTCTTCTCTAGTTTATATTAATGAAAAGGCTGTTAGCTTTTACTCGGAATTTATTAGTGATCTCTGGCAAATAGCATAAATCTGATTACTGGATTATAAGTTCCAACCACCATTTTATATCACAACAACACCCAGAAATTTTTCACATGATCCTTTTTAAACCAGACTTTGATAGAAACAGCTACAAAGCCTTCATAGAGAACTTTGGATAAATCATGTAAGTGTACGTCTGGTTTTAGGGAGTGTTTTATCTATTTAGTGGGACTATCTGGGCTTTTTAATTGGGGCTAAAGTTAGTTTACGACATTTTAAGAACTAGAAACTTTAGTTGGTTGGTAGCACTGAAAAATGACGAAACTAACTACTAATTTCTAAAATATAAGGGATCACTCAGTCACATTATGAAATGCACCGTCTACAAAAAGAGGTACCGTAAATAAATTCACGGTTTTTACGGTTTTTATTCTCCACAGAATTCAACATGTCTAACAGTAGCAATAATAAGATTCCTAACTATGTACATCAGGCTGTTATTATGAGCGAAACTATTAAAAAAGAGTTGAGACATCAAAAAATATTCACAGAATACAGTATCAATCCTTTTAAGAAAAGTAAGATTTCACATATTTTATAATTTGCTAGTGTATCCCTTAGCTGATAAACCAAATAGAATACAAGAAGCTGATGCTGAAGACAGTAAGTTTTTGAATAACTTTAAATGGTTCAAATGATTCATAAAAACTAAATATGTAACCATAAGATACCGGTATATTCAGTTAATAGAGAGTACCTTGTGTTCATGGTCATACTGTTCTATTCGTATTTTAATGTTTCTTTCGGTTAGTATACTTAATAGGTTTAGTTAAGTCGATTCCAGCGATTCTAGTACAGAACTCATAGGATATCGAATCCCGATACTTCGTAAACACCAAACAGATAATTACCAAGGAAAAACAATAAACATTTAGGTGGAAGGATACATTTGTGTCATGATTGATGTTAGTGAAGGTAGAATGGTTTAGGTGACAAGAAAAGGGTGGTAAACGATAAACATAGCGTTTACCTCTGGGTAATGAACAATGTAAGTGCTTGACCGCATCTTCAGTTACTTTGGCCTATTGAAATCACACCAAATCGGTGTCAGGTGTTAAATACATGCTGAACTGTTTATCTAATGCTGCAAATATATATTAGCTCAGGACTAGTATTAGATATTTATGATCCTGACACCGGTAGTATACTCAATCACCTTTTAAAGCCAAACATCTGGAAAACTTACACTGGAGAAAATTATTACAGCTTCCACCCTATATGATGTCACTTAAGAGCTTTTTTCAGACATACCGTCAAGTTTTATGAAGAAAAGGATTCAGCGTTTTGGATGAAACGTGGTTTAAATCCATTGTCCCCCTTGGGAAACAGAAATATGGGTCCTGTTTGTATTTAAGGAACTTCTGGACAAAACAAATGTTTTAATGTTGAAAGTCACACTTTAGCTATATAGACTTATAGATCAGTGATTTTTTAAAATTAAGAATGACGGACAGTTTCACCTTGAAGCATAACTGATATTCTGTAACCCTTAAAACGTTATATATCTGTACTAAAGAACTTAGACTTTGTTTACTTATATTGTACCTCCTAAAAATACTTAGAAAAGTTTATTCGTGGTTAGTTCCTAATTTTACTCTCGAAAAATCTTTGTGAAGCTCAACTTTAAAACCGATTCCAGATTTATTTCAGACTGAATAACAACTTTTCAGAAAGGATAACAGACCTTAATTTATTATATATCGTAATAGCTGTCATCTTTTGGTGGTTTTTAACAGTCTATGTTTTTTGTGTGACTTGTATCACTTCAGATACTGTATTATTTTAATTAGTTATGCCCTAGTCTTCCAAAAAAGTCAATATACTACTTTTTCAAAATTATTAATTAATGATTTACTTTGATATTTATGATTGATGTGATAAATCCCAATCGAATTTTGATCAGACACAGGTTTAGTGCTATCGCTTGACTTTCAGTCTTGTAAAGTGCAAAGTTATTTTTTAGTTAATATAAAAACATATATCCCCCATATATGCTCTCCTATCTAATTATTTGTTGTAATGTAGGATTAATATTTTAAAACCATATCAGAAAACTTGTTATAAATACCCACATGATGAATGAAAAATGTGGTTCATCTATAAGTAATGTAAATGACTGGTTGGCGGTTCGCTTACGTATTCGGTGGATGCTATTCTCCTGAAGAAACTAATGTAAAGGCATTAATTAAAAAAAGAGATCCTAATCAGAGTTATCGCGATAACTGTGTTGGGTTATACTTAAGGTAGTTTTACAATAGGTATGTATGTGCTATTCACTAAAACTTTTATACAACTTGATCAAGTGTACACTTGGTGTTAAACTAATTACACTTAAAAATGTAGGAGTTTGTAAAGGTAGTTATGGATGTGGCAAAACCTAAATTATAAAACCCCTCTATCGATGTTTCCATTTAAAGATGAAATTGTTTATATGACCCATTTTACGATCTATTTTTTTCATGGTTAACTGTTTGTTAAACTGAAACTGATGATACCTTCTGGTGTTTCATACTTTTGGTAAACGACCAAACCGTAACTCAGAAACCAACATAAACCATTTTTTAGTGAGAAATTGCGGCTAAATACTCATTGATGGATATTTTATTTATTTGCCAAACATATTTCCAGAACACTTTGCGAACGTTATACAACGCGCTTCTTTGGAACCACCAAAAAAATATATCGAACCTCAAACAGAAAATCAGGAATATGGTTGGATAAGTCAGCCACTAGTAAGTCATCATTCCTGTATTTACGGTTATATGAACGTGTGAAAAGTTTTCTTTCGAATTTAAATAACTTTGCGAATTACTTGAATTCACAGAGCACTTTGTGCAATTTTTATTTTAATCATGAACTTTTCTCTCCAGATTCTTGTTCGCCTACATTATTAAAGCATTGAGGTCACCCGAGAAAATCCCTACTATTAAGTAATCAATTGGTGATCTAGTCATCAACGTTTTATAATGTTACGAAATTTAAAACAGTTAGTCTCTTTGATAAATTCCGAGAAGACGAAGGTTATCAGGTTTATGTGATTTATTTGCTCAATACATTTTGGACAACTTGATCACGCATATACTTGTTAAGACCTTTTATATGAAAATTAAAGATCAACTAGACAAATTAAAAGGTAAGTGGCAACAAAGATAATAATAAAGTACACATAAGTAATGTGAAAACCACGCTGGATAATAAATCAGTATTATCAGGGTAGGTTAAATGTAAGATCGAATTGTTTTTGAACACATAAAAGGAGTTTCAGTTTCTGTATAGCCGAGGCTTCAATTTACTGCAAACGTGGATCAATAAAGGGCTTATTCCATAGGATCAATGATATTTTTGCTGGTGATGCTATTGAAGTAGACATAGCTCTTAACTGAAACATTAATTAATAACAGTTATTCATTGAAGTTTATAAACTGTTATAAAGGTTTCAATACGATGTGATCTATGACGCTTCTGGAGCCCAGAAAGCGATTCTATATCATGTTACCATTTAGAGGTTACTCAAATAGTCTCATGGTGGAACGGAAACTTAAATTAGCTATCAATAGGACATTTTATGCAACCCAACTTGTCATTTTTGCAAAGACAAGGTCTATTTCTCACCAAAAACCCAAACGGCACGTAAGTGATTGTGTCAGATCCCCTTGTGCCTATAAATTTAAATGTATGTACCGAAACACGTACATAGGGAGGAGCAATCGTGATTTGCAAATAAGGGTAGCTGAACACATACCTAAATGACTGCAAAAACAAATGAATTCCAATGGTCAAACGAGATCGCAGGATTGACAAACATCTCCCTCCACCTCGAAACATTTGGTTGAGACCGATTATAAGGTTTATATGAAGTCAGCCTTTGTAGTTATGTACAAAAGCCTTCAAGGGCATATACTAAGGTTTATTGAAGCCTCAGCTATACAGAAACTGAAACTCCTTTTATGTGTTCAAAAACAATTCGATCTTACATTTAACCTACCCTGATAATACTGATTTATTATCCAGCGTGGTTTTCACATTACTTATGTGTACTTTATTATTATCTTTGTTGCCACTTACCTTTTAATTTGTCTAGTTGATCTTTAATTTTCATATAAAAGGTCTTAACAAGTATATGCGTGATCAAGTTGTCCAAAATGTATTGAGCAAATAAATCACATAAACCTGATAACCTTCGTCTTCTAATTGCATTTTCGAAATGTCATGATATTTAGACAATTCAATGGTCTACCCTCAGTGTCATTGGACGGCAACTTGAACTGTTACCTTAGTTTACCTTATTGATTATATGACCGAGTTAGAGAAATTTCACTATCGAAAATCAGTAATAGAGGGGCTCAGAACGTGTTGTTCACTTTCTAACACTCTGTATTTCTTTCTCTAATGTTTTTAGTCAAGGTTCTTATTTTCCACATGAGGTTTTTATTTATTTATTTATTTATGTTGTTGTTTTAGATGGAAATAGACAGGAGTGATCCAAGGTTTTATCATCCTAAAGTTGCTTGTGAAATGACGAAATTTATGGATGCGTATTGGAAACTAAATGAACAGCGTAAATTAAATTCGTGAGTCTTAGAGATAAATGAATAATACCTGATGCATTAAAAATACAATATTGTAAAACCTGAAAATAATTTCATCAGAAATATCGTCTGATATCTTTCTATTTTTCGTTTAATATATATAGTTTTAGAATGGATTTATTCTTGTAAAATCCAATTGTTATTATTTTTATGTGGAATAAACAAACGTATTTTCATATTTAGTGAGGTGAGTTGTTTTGAAATATAATAATTATTTTAGTAATAAATTAGTCTTACATTTGTTTGTGCAGTGAATAACACGACTGAATTTTCAATAGAATCTTTCAGAGCCACTATAAGAGAATAATCTGAAGACTACATATACAGAAATCAGTCACTAGTTAAATTGGGTCATAATATAAATTTCATTAGTTACCTAGATCGTCCGGTCAAGGAATTCTATATATACATAGTATGTGTAGAGTGTCGTTATCTAGTTGTGTTATTATTAGAATTAGACTGCTATTTAACCAAAAGATGTAGAAATCGATGATAACTAGAGCATAAAATATCTGATGTTTTGTGATTGATTTTGATATATATTTAGTTCTGCAGCGGTGTAGGCGAAGTTGAATCCAAATAGATGTTAATTGCTAAGCTGAAAGATGAGGTTTCGGATCCTAGAGGAAAATTCTATTAAAATAAGGAAGATTAGTTCAGCGAAGAGTTCTCTTTTTGGTGAATTCATTTTCAAAGCTGTACAATCGCAAACGTATATATATGTATATACTTATTGTTCAGGATGATAATAACTACAATAATAGTGTTAATAAGATTTTGTCGAACATGATAACAGTGAGTTAGACTAAACAAAGGTAATAAAAAAATTATTTCTTTAGTCAAGGAAACTAATAATAGTTTTATTGTTAAGGGCTTAAACATTCATCATGAAGATAAATAGGGAAGTTATAATTAAGACGGATGGTTTAGCATGATAAGATAAAATGTTGAAATTGAAATGAAATGTAATTAGGAGGATTATAGAAACAGAAATAAACCAGTTGGGAGTAGAAGGTCTATGGAGAAGATGGAAGGGGAAGCAGATGTTTGTAGAGGAAGAAAAGTATGAAGAAGAAAGAGAATTATGAAACATTAAAACGATTGCAGAAGAAGAGGTTGTACCAGTCTCTTTTGCACATACAATTCTGGTTTTCCCAGATGTATAGCTATTGCTTCGACACTGTTAAGAGGATGAAATCTAATTGTCTTTGGAAGACTTCTACTTGCCCTGTATATGACTTTGAATGCAGAGTCTGCTTTGGTTGAGTGGCCTGTGTTCACAAGATGTTCAATTAATGAGCTTTTTGTTGAGCCGTTTCTGCCTCTTTTTATCCACTCAGGATAATGTTCTTGTATTCTTTTGAATAAAATATCGTCGAACTGTGGTGTATGCTATTTATATCCCCAGACATTAGTAGTATGTAACACGAAACAAAGGTGGAAAACCTGGCAGCAGGAAGCAATGAAGGTTGACTTGAAGAAAACAGAAACGGAATTAGGAAGAAATTGTGAATCGGAAGAATCTTACAAGATATGGAAGACAAGTGGGGGAAATTCGCAAATAAAATAATTAATGTATGGTTCTCATATTTTACCGAAACATTCCGTAATTTCATATTGAAACTCGTTGGATTATCCCCGTCTGAGTGTTCGTTTATCACGGAACGACTAATATACCTGGCTCCTCATGAGCAGGTAAGTTGCTAGATGCATATAGAGTTCGTCAGACGAGACTATTTACCCTTAAGATAACTGAAGAACAATGATAAGCTGGGGAACACTATTTGCAACGTTGCCGCGAGGAACGACCTTTTATAAAGAATCAGAAATTCTCTTCGTTAGGATGTTTGTAGTTCTATCACCCTTAAAATCGATGTTCATGTAAAGTGTTTTCTTTTCGACCGACGTTATTTCTATTTTAGACGGTTTAGGTTTTAAGTTCATGTCAATAAATATCGAAGGATACCAGTTTTTGAAAAGTATTTTGATATATCTTGTTGTTTGAATGCTACTTCTTATATTTGATCATCACTAATTGTTGTGTCGGAAAAGCTTATCACATATTCTTGTAAAGCGAGGAACCACTGCAATTCTCACGACGTGAAAGTAAGAACACATCCCTATTGCATTTATACACGCAGTGATTATGGTGAAGAGATTGTTATGGATAATGTCCTTAATATCTGACTCCAAATAAATAATAATATTCCGTAACTGAGTATTCAAGGTAGGCTTAATCTCCTAGTAGAATTACGGATTTACTCGAGATTATTAAGAAGCCTGAACACCAGTTATGGAGATAGTTTATTATTAATGAATAATGATAATCCACAAGCGTATTGTGAGCAAGCACACGATGGGAACAGAGAGAGTGAGTGAGTTTGTTAAAAATCCATATATATTTGAGGGTTAATCGGGTGTGTATAAATTATCGATTATCTGCACGTTGAAACCAATAGGAAAATAGTTTAAAAGTTAATGTACAGACATGCATTCGATCATACACTCCGAAATTAACATAGTGAATTAAGAGTCTAAGTTACAATGAATAGACAGATGATACAGTGGCCAAATGGGCTTGCCACATAAGCTCCCATCCAGAACATTGATGTTTTTATGTACCAAAAAAAAAATTGGATTAACATCTATGTTCGACAAAGAGATAAAGAACGGAACTGTTTTTAAAATGAAAGTACAACTCAATATGATGAGTAAGCGTAAAATTGTAATAACAGCTTGTGTGTTGAAACGTTTCATATCATGTATATACAAGTGTATATTTAACATTAATGAATTGTATAAAGTTAAAATGTAAGCATAATGATGATCCGTGGGGCCAATAAAATAAAAAATAGTAATCAAAATAAAGTAGGATTTTTATGTGTTATAAGAGTAGTCTCAGGATTTGGTCTAGATAAATATGGTGGTTGCTACATACCTATCTGGCCAATGTACTCTTCTTCCTGATCTTGTTGTAGTTTGTGCTGCTGCTGAATTTCGATTTGAAGTGTTGCTTGTTGCAGGTAGTTTGAATGGTGCTTGCTCTGCTGCAGGTTTAGACGGTTTTACAGTTGTCTGTTTTTTCTCAAAAATATTTCGTCTCATACCGTAAGGTACAAAAGGGCGAGTTTTACCTGTTGAGGTATCACAAGTTAAGGTGTCCTTGTTGTTTATGGGGATGTTTTGGAATAATAATTTCGTTTCCTTAGACTGCAAAATCTTTTGTAGCTCCGTATCAAGCTTTTGATGCTTTGCCATTTCTTGATAGTCTATATCAGGGATCGAGAAGGTATTGATATTTAATCTCGATAGTGCATCTGCTGCCTCATTTGCATTGCCTTTAATATAGCGTATATCAGCTGCAAATTGTGAAATGAATTCTAGTTGACGAATTTCGCGCGGACTATATTTATCATGATTGTGCATCAAGGACTTAGTTAGGGGTTTGTGATCAGTATATATCGTGAAAGAATTGCCTTCTAACATGTAGCGAAAGTGTTTGATGGCTAAGTAGATAGCCAACAGTTCTCTACCGAATGTGCTATATTTCGTTTGCGTTGCGTTTAGCTTTTTTGAGAAAAATGCAAGGGGTTGCCATTGTTCATTGACACGTTGCTGAAGTACAGCACCTACTGCTACGTTAGAAGCGTCGGTCATTATTGCTAAAGGTGCATGAACCTTTCGTCGTGCGAGTAATGCCTCTGTGCTTAAAGCGCTTTTCAACTGATCAAATGCTTGAATTGCTTGCGGTGTCATTGCTAATGATTTAGCTCGTCCCCTTAATAAATCAGTTAGTGGTTTTGCTAAGTCTGCACATTTAGGGATAAAACGTCTGTAAAAGTTGATCATCCCAAGGAAACGTCGTAGTTTCTTGAATGAATCAGGCAAAGGATAATTTTTGATAGCTTGTGTTTCCTCAGGAACTGGTTTAATGCCTTGCTTATCAAGTACGTGACCTAAAAAGGTGAGGGATTGTTTTCCGAACTCACATTTGTCAGGATTGACCGCTAACCCATACTCGTTTAGCTTCTCAAAAAGCATTTTCAGATGAGTTAGATGTTCATTTTCATCTTTGCTTGCTATAAGTAGGTCATCTATGTAAGCATACACAAACGGTAAGCCCCGTACCACTTGGTCAATAAAACGCTGGAAACTTTGTGCAGCATTCCTTAATCCGAAAGGCATGCGGACGAATTCGTATAGTCCAAAGGGGGTAGTAATGGCTGTTTTAGGAACATCGTCTGGATGAATTGGAATGTGATGGTAAGCACGGACGAGATCAATTTTTGAAAAGATCGACACGTCAGATAGGCTATGAGTGAAGTCATGCAGATGTGGGAGAGGATATCTATCTGGTATGGTCCGGCTGTTGAGAGCTCTATAGTCACCGCACGGTCTAACTTCGGAAGAGTTTTTCTTAGGTACCATATGAAGCGGTGATGCCCACGGACTATCGGAGGGGCGTATGATGCCCAACTCAATCATTTTGTTGAATTCGTTCTTTGCGATAGCCAGACGAGAGGGATCAAGGCGTCTTGGACGTGCGAACACAGGTGGACCCTCTGTCTTTATGTGGTGTACGACGGTATGCGTCGGTTTGTCGTGTTTGAAACTCGGTCGTAATAAATCTGGAAACTGATTAAGTAAATTGACGTATTTGTCGTTCTCATGATGAGGTTTAACTAATAAATGTATGGAAGTCTCATTTGATATAATTCCTCTAATTTCCTTACTCTGTTCGGCAAGGACAAGTTTCCTATTTCTGACATCTACCAGTATTTTGTGGAATTGCAGAAAATCAATGCCGATTATAGGAACGAGGACGTCCGCTATGATGAAACTCCAGGAAAAATTAGATTTAGGACCGAAATTTAATTGCAACCGCCTTTTGCCGTACGTCTTGATGTCAGACCTGTTTGCAGCTTGTAGTTTTAGTTTGGGGTCAGGTGTGTTTTTCTCGAGTGCAGTAGGTGGTACTACACTAACCTCTGCCCCAGTGTCGACTAAAAACTGTGTGCCGGTTCTTTTGTCTGTAACATATAATAGACGACTGTCTTGAAAGTTGTGGTCAGTGAGTGCAGTCGTCATTAACCTACGGTCTTGACGTTCCTTTTTCTGTGTGCTTGCAAAGTTACAAGGCGGAGTACATTTTCTAGCTTGTTTGCCATATGTTCTATGGTACCAGCAAATGTTTTGTCTAGTAGTGCTTGGACTACGTCGTCTACGG